AGCAGAGAAGAGGTGAGGGCACGGCGAGGTGTCAGGCGGCGAACAAATGGTGCACGGCGGAAGCTTGGGTGCAGCGAGCTGTTCGAGCCGAGGGTGCAGGTCCGGGCAGGCGGGGACGAGCGGCGAAGTCTGGTCGGCTCGCCGCACCAGTGAATCGTTTCGCACTGGGGTGGGTCTGAGGAGCAGTGGTATTGTGATTTCTAGGCACGCACCAGTGAATCGTTTCGCACTGGGGCGGGTCTAAGGTACTAGTGAGATATGGTTAACCAGATATCCGATAATGTGAACCTTGACTCTATGTGAGATGTGAACCAGTGACCTGTTATAGGATGGCTAATTGCATGACCTCGTTTCTTGGCTAGGTATGAATTCTTGTGAGAGGTAGTCCAGTTGTTGTTCTTTTCATACATAGATCGGGATTGATATTTAATTATTTACAATTCGAGACATATGGTATATACATGAGGGTTTCCTTGTTTGGATTATTTCGCTCGACGTACTACGTCTCGAGTTGTAGATTTTTAAGTATTAATTCTATCTAGGGGTATGTCCTTGTTACACGGATGATTATGGATTCTTATGATCGTTATACTCTAGTGATGGATTGCATCTGGCTTGTTAGTATTCCAGCTGCATGTTTCTATTTATTATTATTATTATTATTGCTTTGGTCATTCGACCGTTCCTATTTTCTTTGTGGGGTCGGGTCTTGCCGTGCGCTATGCACCTGACGTACACCTGTTTTCTCTGGTGTACGTCAGAATTAGGAGAAGAACAGGTTCAGCTAGGAGATCGCCAGGAGCCGGAAGATCCTCAGCAGGAGTGCCTTGTAGACGGAGCAGAAGAAGGAGTCGAAGCCTATTCTTGATGGTTCCACTTTACTTTTGTAGTTCATTCTTTTTCTATTGATCGATGTATTTTTGTATCTCTCCAGTATTCTTTTGTTCAGTTTTGTATAAGGGCATGTTGACCCGAATTTTATGTCTCGGATGTTATCCCATTTGTGATATGATATTTCTTTATTCTGAGTTGTCTATTAT